ATTCCCACGGTCAACATCATCATCATCTTCTTCCTCATCATCATCATCATCATCATCACCATCATCATCATCATCATCATCATCATCATCGTCAACATCATAATAGTCGTCATCATCGTCATCATCTTCGTCACCGTCGTCTCCGAAGCTCCCCCGCCGAACTCGAGGATATCTCCGCAGCGTCTTGCATGCCGCGTGAGCAGTGTTGGGGATTTAGGTTGTGGGCCTGAGGCCGCCCTGCAGAATCATCATTGTCATTATCACCAGCGTCTGGAAGCCTTGCGGGGCCCTTTCGGCGCCTTTTGGAGGCCTCTTGGAGCTTCCTGGGGGCCTCTCGAGGCCTCCTGCGGACTCCTGGGGGCCTCTTGGGAGCTTCTGGTGAGCGAGGGCTCGAAATGTCAGTTTGTGTTCCCCATCTGGGACTCCTCTTGGAGTGTTCTGGGAGCTCTTTTGGGCCGTCTTGGAAGCTTCCTGGGCCGTCTTGGGGCCCTCTTGGGCTGTCTCGGTGGTCTCTTGGGGGCCTCTTGGCTCGTCTTGAGGCGATTTTTCGGGCCTCTTGGGCCGTCTTGGAGCGTCTGGAAGCCGAACTGGGAAGAACGCCCAACACCTTCAACAACCCACTAAAAATCAATGAACATGCCCTCTTGGGCCCCTCCTGGGAGTGCTGTCGGAGACCTGCTGGGACGCTTTGGCAGCTTTTTAATCGTCTTGGAGTGCTCCCGGGCCGCTTCGGACCTCTCTTGGGCTGTCCTGAGGGCGTCCTGGAGCAATCTTAGAGGGTCCTGGGAGCGTCCTGGTATCTGCGGCGGGGGGGGGACCACAGCCACTGGGCAAAGTGAGGCCCCCCCCCCTGGTCCAGGACCCCCTCCCCATATATATATATATATATATATATATATATATGTATACACATACATACATAATTACATAATTACATGCATGCATGCATGCATACACACATACATTCATACATGCACATACATACATACATACATACATACATACATACATACATACATACATACATACACACACATACATACATACATACATACATACATACATACATACATACATACATACATACATACATACACATACATCAATCCATCCATCCATCCATCCATCCATCCATCCATCAATCCATAAATACATACATACATACATACATACATACATACATACATACATACATACATACATACATCGATACATACACACGCATATATGCCGGCGGTGCCCGGTGCGGAGCGACCCCACCCCGGAATCGCTCGTACTGGCTGGGGGGTTCGTGCTGTCCGCACCGCCGGTGCAGGCCAGTTCGAACCCCCCCGGGATGCACGAACCCCCCCGGGGCCGGTGCGCCCCGGTACGAACCCCCCTGGGACGCCCCGCCGGTGCGCCCTGCCATGTTGGTACGAACCCCCCCAGGATGACCAGAGCGCGGGGCAGCGCCCGGGCAGCGCATGCGAGCGTCCAGCGGCGGCGTCGGCGGCGGCGTCGGCGACGGCGGCGTCGGCGACGGCGACGACGACATCCAAAGATCCCCGGAGGCCCAGAAGCTTCCCGGAAGTAGTCTCTGGACCATCTATGTCATATCCGTCCGTCGATCCGTCCATCCATCCGTGAATCCATTCATCCATCTAGTCCTCCCTCCCACCCCACGCCCACGCCCCAAAGACCCATCCCCCTCGCTCCCACGCAGCCCCCCCGCCCCCACAGGAGCCCCCCCCACTCCTACAGGAGCCCCCCGCCCCACTGTCACAGGGGGGGGGGGGCGCTGGTGCGCCCGGTACAAAAAACCGGGAAAGAGGAAGAGGGGAGGTTCCAGGTCGTCGGCGGCACCCGGTGCGCCCTGTACGAAACCCCACAGGAAGGCGGGGGGGGTTCGTGCCACGGGGCACCGCCGACATATATGATCGTGGGCTCAGGGTCCTCGGGCCCCCCCCCCCGGATGGGATGGGTCCCAGGGTCCTCGGGCCCCCCCCCCAGATGGGATGGGTGGGGGGGAGGAGAAGGAGGAGGAGGAGGAGGAGGAGGAGGAGGAAGTGAGGAGGAGGAGGAGGAGGAGGAGGAGGAGGAGGACGACGGCAATGACGACCGACGACGACGACGACGACGACGACAACGACGACGACGACGACGACGACGACGACGACGACGACGACACCGACAAAAACGACGACGACAACGACGACGACGACAACGACGACGACGTCGACGGCACCACCAGCGGCGGCGGCGACGACGTCGAGCACCAGAGCAGTCAACATGACGCCAATCCCAGCCACACGCCGCACCCACACCGCACCCACAGAGGGGGAGGGAGGGCGGGAGGAGGACCATGGCGTCACCCCGCACACACCCACAGCAACACACCACACCCACACCACATCCACAGGGGGGGGGGGGAGCCACCCACCCTAGCCCCACCCCACAGGGGGCGGGGCATCGCGCGGGGGGGGGGGGGGGGGGGGGGGGGGGGGGGGCGATTTTCTTATTCTACGTTTAAGATAACGCCCTCCACCCATATATACATACCTGCATACAAACAGACATGCATGTAAACACACATACATACCATACGAACATGCATACATGCATGCATGCATACATGTATGCATGCATACACACATGCAGGCAGACGAACATGTATACATACGTACATACATACATACATACAGACAGACACGCACACAATCATACACATATGTATAAATTTAGACATACATTCATACGTAAGCACAGACGTACATACATGGATGTCTACATACGCTCATGCATCCATGCATGCATGCATGCAAGCATACATACATCCATACGTGTACACATACACCTATTCATATACATGCACACACGAATGCCTGCATACCTACATGCATACATATTTACATACATATCTGTATACACATATGTGTGGTTTGGCCAGCGTGAAAACCAAACAGTGTGTTTCTACCAAGAAGTGGCGAACGATCTATGTGGTGCCATTGGCTTTGACTTCCTCGCGCGTGACCACCTCCCATGCTCGCGCAAATATCCCGCCCACCCACCCGCAACTTGGTTTGCAAAACCTATGCGCGGCGAATACGATGGCTGTTTGGCGCTGGCTGGTGCATCGCGGAGGCCGCGCTAGCGCGCGCAGGCTCGCGCGCAGGGCGGCCAGCTAGTTTCCAAAACAAGATTATGTCAAGAGGGTCCGAAAAGCCCCCAAGACGACCCAGGAGGGCCCCAAGAGGACCCCCGAGAGCGCCTTCAGAGGCCAAATGCATTGAGTGTCCTTGAGGTTATGATGGAGTTTAGCGTTCTCGCCTTCTTGAAGCCAATGACGGCCGAAGCAGCCTCCAAAATGGCCTCCAGACGGCCCGAAAGAGACCACAAGAGGTCCCCAAGACGGCGCAAGAGGGCCTCAAAACGGCCCAAGGAGGCCCCCAAGACGGTCCAAGAGGCCCCCAAAACAGGCCAAGAGAACTCCAAGATAGCCCCAAGGCGGCCGCGAGAGGCCCACAGGATGGCCTGCGAAGGGGCCAAACGGCGCAAGAGCGCCACAAGACGCCCTCAAGAGGGCCAGAAAGGTCCAAAAGAAGCCCCCAAGAGGCCCCAAGAAGCCCCCAAGAGGCCTCCAAGAAGCCCCAAAGAAGCTCCCACCAGACCCCGCAGCGACTTGACTGTATGTGCTCTTCGCGTGCACCCCGCGAAGCGAGAGGAATCTTGGTCATGGTGCTCGTGTTTGGAAAAAACAAAAAAAGTACTGATACCGCTACTCCGTGGACCTCTCCAGGTGTGCGTTCTGACAAGGATTTCGAGGCGAATCCAGAGGTGGCGCCAAGGGCCGCCCAGGAGGCCCAAAAGGGAAAACGAGGGAAGAGTAGAGGGCACCCTTTCCTCATCGGAGTGCTTCTTCCCTCGCAGGGGGAGCCCACATGCCCCGCCTGGCTCCAGCGCCTCCAGCGCACCGCAGCCGCGGCCCCCGGGGCCCGGGCCACACAGCGCGCTCGGCGCCGCGAAGTCGAGCCGAGGGTCCGGGTGGCCGGACGCTCCAGCCCGAGACCTCGGCCCTGTCCTCAAAAGTATGGTGAAAATCCTGCAGGCCTCGCGCGGTAACTTGAGACACAACCTACGTCGGATTCACATCGGATTTACGTCGGGTTCACGTCGGATGTACGTCGGAGCGTCGCCGCGCAAACGTCATCCGAGAGCCTGCCAGAGCCCTCCGAAGGCCCTGCAAACTTTTGATTGGCGGCGCGCCTAGGGGGGAAGCGAGAGGGGGCCAGCCTTCTCAGGAGGCGGCGGGCTCCTCGGAAGCCCCTTGGCCTTCTGAGAGGGCCCCCTGTGGCTTCGGAGAGGGCTCAGGTTGCTCCTGAGGAGGCCAAAGGCCTGCTGAGCCCTCTGAGAAGGCCCGCCCCCTCTGCCTTCCCCCCCTTCTATGGGGAAAATCCTGGAGGCCTCGCGCGGCAACTCGAGACCCAACTGCACGTCGGGTTCACATCGGATTTATGTTGGACTTACGAAGCGTCGCCGCGCGAACGTCGTCCCATATTTCACGGGTCGCACGTGCCAGCTAGATAATTGAATAACTATTTCGCGCCGCACGAAGTGTCGTCGGAGGCTCAAAAGATGTCATCGGAGGTTTAAAACCTTGATATCCAGGCGATGCATCCTTTTCACACATGGCCTCGCACCATCACAAACCGATCCGATCCGGCTCGGAAAATGCAGCAGAAACACTGGGTCTAGGGCTCTTGTCCAGACTTTTCGCGGTGCTGCGACATGTTCGCGACGTCGGCTCTCGGGACACGGCCTGCGTCGTGCACCGCGCGGGTGCCGCAGGGTGCGGCCGAAGCCACAAGAGAATCGCCGAATAATGTTGCAAATGCATCCTCCAAATCAGACCATGCGTCTGTCATTGCAGAATGCACAAGGACAGCCTAAGCCGGACCTGAGGGAACTCTCCCCTCTCCC